GATGTTTAACTGTGTGTATGTATGTGCATTTCAAAAAGGGCGCTTGTATATGCATTTGATTATATATGCGTGTGTATATCCCGAATGGTAAAAAGAATGTAAACACATTTCTCTGTCTCTTTCTCTCTCCCTTCTTCTCTCCTCCTCCTCTCTCTCTCTCTCTCCCCCCTTTTTGTCACACACACACACACATATATATATATATCTAATTAGGTCCCATTTCACATTTCCACTATAACAAATATGTGTCTGTCGATATCATAACAATCTATCCACCTATCTATCTAAGCATATAAACATGCACACACTCTCGTACAGGAACATGGATGACCCTGATTTCGCGATCTCCTAATCATAAAGCCAACTGAGAGTAGGGAGGTGTTACGAAATGCATTCAGCCCCGGGATGATACGTATTTACAATTTGATGTATATGTACTGTAAATAACATAACATTTAACTTCGTAAAGTTTAGCATTTTAATACTCATGCACAATATACTAGTACTGGCTATATCCACTGTGGTGAAATTCCTAGAATCGTTCAACTTTGGAAAATGTGCTATAAAAAACAATGGTCGGTTTATTTTGGGCTCATCCCGGTCTAAGAATACCTTGCCAGTTTTAAACAAGCTCTCTGTTTTGGTGAGGTACACAGGATGTCATAATATTAATGGGAACGTTTTCATACTTGTGACGCAAAGCACGCTACACAGTGCTTAAAGGATGTTTTAAGTATACTTTGAGGGTGTTACGTACTCTGTATATACACAAAGTGTCAGTATGTATATATATAGTCTGTGAACTATAATAGCAACGTACTACACTTATACAGTGGGCATATTTTTAGTATAAATCTAAACTGAACGAAAAAGATTAATGGAAAAGAAATGGGGAGAAGGCAAAAAGATGAATTCACTGGTTTTGTGGAAACGATAACTGCCTCCCTTAACGCAAACCGTCCCGTAGAGTTGCGAGGGGTCTTCCGACAGGGAATTTAGAAACTATTACAGAGATAAGAAGAGATGAAGAGAGGGTCAGCAGACAGATGCCTGGAGGACAGCGGGCGAGGTTATTCGCCTACTTTTTCCCCAGTCTCTGTCGCTGCCAGAAGTCGTATGGACATCGATGGCCATGTTAACGCATCGCGATCGGCTTCAACAGTGGCTCTGAGAAAGCCTTCTTACCGGAAACGTCCTTTGTGCTGTTCTTTTAAAAGTCAGGAACCATCCTGCGGCTTGGGTGAAGAATCGATTAACACTATTTCTCGAAGTCTTGCTCCAGTGCTATCCAGAGTCTACTTACGTTAAAGTAATGCGTCCACATATGAAGGTTCAAACGAGGTTACCGAAGTCAGTGGCTAGGCAACACTGAGAAACTGCTATAAATACTAGCACGATATAAAACGACACTGATCACTGATGCAGTGCTATCTAGTCGCTTTTGACAATGAATGTAATAAATTTACAATATAGATACTTGCAGCAACAAGATATATTCCAGTTTTCCCTCGTAACGCTTTCAATAAGTTATTGGTGAAGAAAAACAATATGATGTTTTTGCTTAGATATCAAATAGTAAATCCTTTGAATTTTGAAATAATCTTTCATAGAGATAGTAACTTTCATAATCAAATTGGCAATACATTCTACAGTTTATGCGAAGTGTAGTATTGTCAATGACACAATGGATGAACTTTGTGCATATTGGTAATCCCTTAATCTCTGTAGCTCTATTTTCCCGTCAACCACTTTGAAAAAACAATTTACAAGTTAGATTTGCTTAATCAAGGATACATGATTCGGAATACCAAGGGATTTTCTTCTGAGCTGTGAAACAAACGGAGGCACCTGTCAAAATAACTTAGGCGTAGAAGATGTACAGATGCTCTCCTTATTTAGTCGCTTCACTTAAAAATAGTTTGGTGATGTATACCTGCGTGATGACTGGTCCGCAAATAGTCTCTCGCCGGGCGTCGGCGCGAGGAGTTCCCGCCTCGCCCGTCACCAGCTTCACATATGTCGGAATGCAAGCCACGAGAGGAAGTCAGTCGCCCCTAATTTTAACTTGGCTAAGTGTCTCAAACAATCGCTTCGTAAAAATCGCCAAGAAACCAGAGAGAAAAAAGGTCAAGCAGACTTTTCATAATTCATATATCAATATATATTTCCTTTCCCTTCGGTCAGGCAAGGAAATCATCTCATTTTCCTCCTGCATTCAGCAGCAAAACCGTGCAGCTTTACCTTGATAGGTATGTAGTTTCATTTGTTCAGATTTCGGACATCGGGCCAAATGGGAGTCACAGCTTTTTTGATTTTTATAAAACAGGTGTTGGTCGCTCATGCTCTGCCCATGACCCTGTAAGAGCGCCATTCACTGGATAGTCTACACTCTAGTACCGGGTCCCTAGGTTTCCGTCATGAATGCAGTGTTCTCGACACAATATTTATAATTATGACGGGCCACGCCTTTCCTCGGAGATACACACGTTAACAACAAAATGGCAGGTATATAAACAAACACAAACACAGACAGACACCTTACACATGAGTCACGCGTCGCCGACTGACATGCGTTTGGACAAATTGTTGGCACGTCGTTCCTCTGTACCTGTGATGCGGACATGGCTGTGACGACATACAATGGCACGCTGTTTTTTAGCGCTGAATGATGTTGTCTAACAAGGGAACTGGGGCTGGCTTCAGAAAATCATCTTATCATTTATAATTTTCACTATCTACTTCATCTGAACTTAACACACACATATACAATACATACATATACATACATACATACATACATACATACATACAGGGCCGGATTATGACCTTTTGGGGCCCCAAGGCTAATGAAATTATGGGGCCCCCTCAGAATATTTTTTACTCGTGATATATTTTAGCGACATTTACATAACTTGACGTAAACTTACTGCAAATTCTTTAAATAAACTAGCATAACTATCTTTTGTTTGTCAATAAAAACATTCTATTAAAAATACCACTATTTTACTATATTTCAACACAACTGTAGTGATTTTTTTTTTTTATAACCAAGCTCCTCAAGCTTGAGGGGCCCGGGGCTGCAGCCTATACCAACCTATAGGATAATCCTATGCATACATACATACATACATACATACATACATACATACATACATACATAAATATATACATAAATATATATATATATATATATATATATATATATATATATATATACACACACACACACACACACACACATATATATATATATATATATATATATATATATATATATATATATATATATATATACATATGTGTATACAGACACACGCACACACACAAACACACACACACACACACACACACACACACACACACACACACACACACACACACACACACACACACACACACACACACACACATACAGACACACACACACACACACACACACACACACACACACACACACACACACACACACACACACACACACACACACACACACACACACACACACTCACACACACATATATTTACATACTTACATATATATATATATATATATATATATATATATATATATATATATATATATACATATATATATATATATATATATATATATATATATATATATATATATACATATATATATATATATATATATATATATATATATATATATATATATACATATATATATATATATATATATATATATATATATATATATATATATATATATATATATATATATATATATATATATATACATACACACATATATATATATAACGGGAAACCACCTTCGGACACTCCCTTGTACAACCATGGAATTAAAGCATGGTCGTCGGTGTCTGCAACAGACCTGGCACATGAAGAAGAATATATATATATATATATATATATATATATATATATATATATATATATATATATATATATATATATATATGTATATATATATATTAACAGCCATTTCTTCCACTGCAGGAAATCGGCCTCTCTCAATTCATTATTTGAGAGGATATCTGTCTCACCCTTACCTGATTGGATACCCTTCCTAAACAACCGCGGTTTGGCGCGCTAACATTTGTGCCACGGCAGCGATTTCCCCTACGACACCTGCGATTGACTTCTCAAGGCGATATGTCGTTTTCTCGCCGTGAGATCGATTTCGAGCGAGCAGTCATAGCGCAGGGATTTTTACGACTGCCGCGACGGGGAATTGAACTCGGGATCATGAGGGTCCGAGTACAGTGCTCTAACCAGTGGATCATCGCGGTGCCACATGTATATATAGATATAAATATACATATTTATATACGCATTTATATATATACATATATATGCATTTATACACACACACAGACACACACACACACATATATATATATACGCACACATCAACCTTTCCCTAGTATTTATTGCAGACATCTCAGGAAATAGCCCTCAATCCCGTATAAAAGATTGGGCATGTTATGCGAATTAACAAAGAATTGTGGGTCATGGAGAAAATGGATGTTAAAAAGGATCTGTCTTAGGAGAGAACACTAGAAGTATATATATGGTCCAGTGGTTAGAGCACTGAACTCCGACCCTCATGGACCGAGTTCAGAACCCCGCCGCAGTAGTCGTAAAAATGCCTGCGCTCTAACTGCTGGCTCCAGCCCGATCTCACGGCGAGAAAACGACATATCGTCTTTAGAAGTCAAACGCAGGTGTCGTAGGGAAAGTCGCCGCCGTGGCACAAGTGTTAGCGCGCTGAACCGCGGTTGATTAGGAAGGGCATCCAGTTAGGCAAGGGTATGTGTGTGTGTGCGCGTGCGTGCTTGTGCGTGTGTGTGCGTTTGTGCGTGTGTGTGTGCGTGTATGTGTGTGCATGTGCGTGCGTGCGTGTGTGTGTGTATGTTTGTGTGTGTGTTTTAAACTGTAAACTACGGCTACGGGACTGCAATGTTGTTTTTCATAACATTGTTAGACCTTCATCTGCAACGCCTGTACCTTAGAACTTTCAAACTTTGTGATATGCCGCGAACGAAAAGTATAGGTAAGATGCGTGTACTGAAGTACCAGAGTTGCTTTTCTAGTAAGAAACTCTCAGGGCTGCCATTGTTTAAGAAGAGATAGGTAATTCATATTTCTGGAGTCAAAAATAACCCTCCTGAATTTATTCCCATTTAGGCATCAGCATTCCTCCATCTTTATTGTTGGCCGCAGTTGGTAACTCGTCTAACTGTTGCACTTAACACATTAAACGGCTTTAGGAAGTCTTGCCACAGAGTAAAATAGTCAGTACCGTATTTTCTCACTTCATGATCTTATAAGGTTTCCATTCCTTTTCGGTGTTAGTTTTGCATCTGGGGATGGTACTGGGCATTCAGGAAATCGCATAATAGAACTGTGCACTGCCCTCTTTCCATATATTCAAAAATTGTCGCTTAGTTTTTACACACAGTCAGTAAACCCAAAGTTTGGAAATTTATAATCAGCAGCTGCTTGACCCTTTTCTATGCATAGATATTTCTCTACCGCGGCGAACTCGAGCCGCTCCTTCTGTCGTCTGCCTCCGGTCTGTCACGCACGCCTGCCCATCACCGCCAAGCAGCAAGTCTATACTTCAAATGTCCACACAACAGCTGTTTCTTATTCCCTGGGACCTTTCTTTCAATGCGACAAGTGCATTGTACATTCAAAACAGCAAAGCAATTCATCCAAGGTGAATAAGAATCATAATCAAATTTTTGTTTTTGACAACAATGTACGCACATACGCACGCAAGCACGCATACACACACTCACACACACACATACACACACACACACACACACACACACACACACACACACACACACACACACACACACAAACAAACACACAACAAGCGTGAATCCTTTTCATCAAGCAAACGCACACCCACGCACGCTGACAAGACCGAGCACACACACAGTGCTCTACGGTCTCCTGGTGCGCAGAGGGACTTACGCCTTGAATGCTGAGTGACGCCAGTGCTGTAGAACCTGTAGCTGGGCGCTTCTTCTTCATCGTCCACTTCCAGGTCGCGGAGGACTTCCTCCTCCTGATCCTCCTCTTCGTCGTACTCCCTGAGTAGCGAGTCCGCGTGCCTGGCCTCCTCCTCCTGCACCAGGCGGATGTACTCGCTGTACGCTCGCTCGTACTCCTCCTGGCTGACGTTGGCCTGCGGGATTGGCAGAAACTGTGTAATGCGCACAGAGAAGTCAATCGAAAGTGGTTCCCCAAACAGCATATTCACCCAGACGCACACCCTGAAGGCACCTGGGGAGGGGCTAAGGAGCTGCTAAGATAGACTTTTCAACAGCCTCAATAACAGTGATGCCGCTATGAGCTATGGTCCTGCAGGGAAGCCAGAAGAGAGGGCCTGGCTGCAGAAATCACCCTGGCGAGAGGCAGGGATAGCTCGCATGATACTTGTTCTTCAAAACCTCGAAAACACAATGATATACAGCCTTGCATTATGAAAACAGCAATACACAAACATAACCACAAACATACACACCAATGCGGACCAAGAAATATCGCAGTTACATGATTAAGAACGTACAGATTCTGCACAAGTGAAATACCAGAAACTGCAATATATATGTATATATATACATATATATACATATATATACATATATATATACACATATATATGAACATATATGTATATATATATATATATATGTATATATATATATATATATATATATATATATATATGAACATATATGTATATATATGTATATATATGCATACATATGTATATGTATATATACATATATGTATGTTTATATACATACATATGTATATACGCATATATATATATATATATATATATATATATATATATATATATATATATATATATATATATATATATATATATTTACATACATACATACATACATACACATATATATGTATACATAAATGTATATATATGTATATATATGCATATATATTATATGTATATATACATACATATATATTATATGTATATATACATACATATATATTATATGTATATATACATACATATATATACACATATATACACATACATATATGTATGTGTATATATATATATATGTATGTATATATATACATATGTATATGTATATATACATATATGTATACATATATGTATACATATACATACACGTATATGTGTACATATATGTATATATATATGTATGTATATATACATATTAATATTTATATATATACATGCAAATATATATATATATATATATATATATATATATATATATATATATATATATATATATATATATATATATATATATATATATATATATATATATATATATATATATATATATATATATATATATATATATATATATACATTTACATACACATTCACACACACATACGCACACACACATACAAATTGTATCATTATTTATCTGTGTATCATGATCTTCACCCGAAAATATTAATATTACTAGCAGTACTGATGAGGAT